TATCATCATGTCTATTTCTATCAATATATATAGATTAATTTTATTCTCGGTTTAATTTACCTTTTACCTTCTTCTAACTCCAGGAATTAAGAAAAAAATATAAAATAAATTAAATCAAAATTAAAATTGATAAAAATCCATGTGTTGCTTATTTCACGCATCGAGATAAATCTTCTCAAATACCGAACGATATAAAACAATATGTGAATTTAATAAGAATGTAAAAAAATGCGATTTACCATCGCACAAGGAAAAGTTCATCAATTGCCTCATATGCCTTATATGTACTGTATTGCTTTTTTCTTCGCGAGGAAAGAGTCTCGCGTGCAAGAAGTGCCGATGCGACCGTATTTATTACGAGAGGTAAAGAGCCAGCGAAAGAAGATCCAATTTGTCCCCGTCTGCTCGTCTGACGCGAACGGTCAAATTATATCGTGACTTGCAAACAAAGTCGAGAGAAGTCGTGCGGGAATTCGGGAAGCTTACATCTCGGACGTGTATCGCCTGTCATACCCTTGTCGTGCCCTCCGAAAGTCGAGCGAAAAACTAACTCTCTTGTCGGGATGTTCCCTTCTTATTTAATTTTAATCTGGCATCCGCTTCGATTTACCTTAGCCTTAGCTAAGTCGTAGCGAACTTCCGAGCCGAAGGATGTCTGACCAAAAGGTCCTTTTCTACTGATGTCGCGCGCGAGTTGTGCCGCCAAATTAAAAATTTACGATTTAACATTTCCCTCATTTATTCGCGATCGTTTATCTGCCGCCTTTTTATTTATTTGTCTTCCGATCAATCTAATTTAATGACCCAATTTGCAGATAATAACGCGTGCCCCGATTTATAAATTTTGCTTACTTGTTGACGCGTCCCAATTTGTATTCAATTTATCTCTACATAATTGTTCTTTCTCTCTCGCGTGTGCGGAAAGTTTATATAATTGATTTAATTCACATCTGCGTGGTAATTGCGTTTTGTCGCGTCTGGAACTGAGCGCACCGGAAATATCACGCCGGCAAGTCGCATGGGAATTCGGGAACTTCATTCGCGTAGAGACTGTTTCGTTTCGCTTGTTGTGTTCTCGAAGGATGAATGGATGAATAATGGAGAAGTCCCTCCTGATTTAAACTTAATATCCCCGAGGTCCCGCGATATTCGGAACGATTTGCCGTACGTTATTGTAGAAAATGACGTTCGATCATGATCATCCTTCTCTATTGATGCACACAAAAGTTTATTTTAATTTTTAAATCGATCTTATTTTTTTCTATCTACTTTACATTTAGATGCTTCTTTCCAATAAAAAATTTATAACCATAATTAATCTAATCTAATGTTTGATAATTACTTTGCGACATAAAAAATATTGGGTTGGAGAATCGTACAAAAATTCGGAAACTTTCATTTGCAAATTTAAAAATTATGATGATTCGAAAAATAAATAAATAAATAAATAATTTTAAAGAAATTTATTATAATTTTGATTTCACCTTGCCAATCGCCAAGGATTTCAGGTTTTATCATAAGTCACGGAAAGAACGTTCGATTATGGAAATCCTTTTCTTCTTACTTCGCGCGCAGATTTGCGTCTTTCAAACTCGTTCCATTTCTCTTTATTTGATTTATGTCAATATAATTCAAGATTTATATCCATACGAATATTGTGATGTAATTTATATCGATATAATTATTTTCTTTTCTCCGCGAAGGAACCACAACGAACAGAACGGAAAATCGGGTCGGAAAATCGCGCGGGAATACCTTTGGGAAACGCGGGCTTATACCTCGTGTAGACTGGTGTGTCGCCTGGTACTCTCGTACTCTCGTCCCAGAAAGATGTCACTCGTAAGTAAAGGTCTCTCTCTCTCTCTCTCTCTCTCTTCTCTTCTCTTCTTTTTTTTCCTTGTTCTTTTGATCTCTCGATATCGTCGCCTCGATGTCTCTACGACAGAGTGACCGCGCTTGGAGTACGCGACCACTTTATACCCCGTGCCGTTGGCGGACGTGGCTCCCATCCCTTCCCGCCATAGAGCCCACGCTTCGTCACACCCCTTCGCTCGCCGCTATCCCCCCCTCGGTAGTACATCTCCACATCTCACCGTTTGTCGGATACCGCTATAGCTCTACCTTTCCTGGAATTACAAGTCATAGATTTCTAGAGCGATCCATAAGTTTACGCTCGCTTTTTCGATTTCATAACGGGGGCATTTTTTTCTTCAAGCGATCCCCGATGACCGCCATCGTGATTTCGTAGCAGCAAGGGAAAGTTGAGTCGAATCCCCGAGGACAAATTGGGTCGGCGGACACGCGAACTAAATTGCAAGGGAAAATGATGCAGGAGAGATCGGTGTTCGATTAAGAGGGAATGTAAGCGAGCTAATTACGAGCCCGCATAAATTTGGTTACTTCTCCGCCTCCCCCTCTCTCTCTCTCTCTCTCTCTCTCTCTCTCTCTCTCTCTCTCTCTCTCTCTCTCTCTCTCTCTCTCTCTCTCTCTCTCGCTCTCTCTACTTTGTTTAAAAAAACTCGTATTACTCATATGACATGTGTACTCGACCCACGTACAAAGATCCCAGGAGCTTGAGGTGTTCTTTTGATTGCAACGTTTTCGATTTATGTCGAGTTCTTGTAGCAAGCGAGAAAGGACATGCCTCTAATTTTTAACATTGTCGTTCCACAACAAGCGATTCCGCTTGAAACTTTTTTTTGCTTCCGCGCCTACAATTCTTTCTCCGAGACAAGTGGATGCTACCACACTTTATCTCTTTTCTTTTAATTACCGTCAATTTAAAATTCTATTAACTTTCTGACACATAATCAACATTACCGTTATGCGCAATATGTAACATTGAGTGTGAATTTTCGTCAACTTTTACTCTGATCGAGAAAGTTCGTCAAATGAATCGCCGATCGCATTCCCGACAGATCACACTTAAAAATTTATTATTATTATTATTCATTGCGGTTGCGTGTTTGTGTATAGTAGACGGCGTATAATCAATTCCAAAAAATCATTACGTATTAAAAATCGCAATTACAAAATCAAGAATTGAAGCGCAATTGTTTTCATTTTCGAAAGGAAATGATATTAAAATATTTAATATTTAATATTTATTTAATATTTTGTCTCGAATATATTGAAATATAACATTGAATTATTAATATTATAATTATCAGATATTGCGTTGCACAAAATAATTAGGGAATTTTTTTTTTTTTTAGAAAACGAGTAATAAATGAGAATAAACATATTAGATTTTTTGCGTAATTCTATTGTTCCTGTTACCTTTTTAATTTATTTATTTCTTTTATACAGTTTTTCTTCATGTCAAAGAATGACCTCCCGATTGTTTAAAACGTTTTTTAAACTTTTTTGGATCGCAACTCTCTTATAAACAAAAAAACACAAAATAATGTTTATAACTTCTTTTTAACTTTCGAGTTGGATACAATTTAATTATTTAACACTTGATTTATAATAATTTATTGTTTATATAAAAAAGTTAATATTTTATTAATAATAATTCAGAATTTATAACAAAAGAATTATCAAAGAAATGAATCTAAAAATTATTTTCCTAATTGTGTTTTTACATTTAAATGAATCTATTTATGATTTTTGTTTTTAATAAAATGGAATAAATACTTATGAATCTTATTGATATATCTTATAGCTATCTAATTGTAAATCAAGTGTATATAAATGGAAAGGATATATTTGGAGACTCTCGGCGACTGCTTTGAAAAACTGGTTTAGAGCAGCTCAAATAATTATTAGAGGAGGTCGAGGGAAGAGTTAGAATAACGATGGCACCTGAAGGAACGCGTTCCTGCATGCTCCAAATTTCCGGAAGAGAATTCTTTGAGTGACTAACGCGGAGGAATCGCGGTTGCGGCTCGGCCGCATCGTTTTACCACCGCTACCAACGTCGCGATGGAACGTCGGGGTGGAACATGGAACTTCTCATCTGCCCCTCTCTCTCTCTCTC